CATCAAGCCTCAAAGCTCATGAGCACATCAGATAAAAAAATTGCCCAACCTCGGGAAGCATGAGCAGTGTTGGAAGAAGTACTCAGATCCTTTACTTACTGTAACTAAAAGTACAAATACTATGGCCTAAAATACTTCACTACAAGTAAAAGCCCTGATTTCCAAATGTTACTTCAGTAAAAGTACAAAAGTATTAGAACCTTACCTTACCTAAGTAAGTATCAAAAGTAATAGTCGTCTTCACGTAACTGTATTTAGTTACTTTCCACCACTGAGCAGGACATTCAGTTATCATTGGCCTTGGCAAAGGTGTGATTCTAGTTGTTTTAAAAGTGCTGCCGAACCTTTGCCTTCCTGCTGTTACCGTGGAACACTGTTTAAAGTCAACTATGTTTCGGTTCAAATGTAAGACAACGATGCCAACAGAATGTAAAGGGGATCTGATCTCCTGCATCATGTGATCTCAGTGTCAATGAGAGTAACGCACAAACAGTGAATCCAGCTGTACCCTTCTCAGCGCTCATCAGCCTGACAGCTCTCTGGCAGTGAAGAACTGTGGATTTGGCGCAGGCATAAAAGAGGAAGACAGGTAAATGATATTCCAATGTGTCATCTCTTCAGAGAGAGCTCGGCGCTCCCTCAGGAAGCGTCTGATGAATATTAATGTGTGGTAACAACAGTCGCTGCGTGCCAGGCCTGTCAGGTCTGGAGACAGGTTTGTGGTTTGAGGGCAGAGAGCGTCACCTCTCCTCCTCTCTCAGCTTTGTCAACTTGTTTTCCCTCTGTGCTACACGGGGGCTTTGTCGCTGGGCTCAGGATTTCTCCCCGCTTTGATATATTTTCCCAGGTTGCCTTTGGTGTGTACTTCACAGGCGCTGTGGCAGCACTCACTAACACACTCCTGACGATTGTGTTTTTTCTCTTTTAAGCCCCTACCGTACCTGCCATCCTTCCTAATTGTCCCATGAGAGACATGGCAACAATGAGAATAGAGAAATGGCCTTGATTCATCTTTAATTAGCGTTTGCGCTAATGTCTGATAAAATAGCATATTCATTGTGGCTTTATAGAGTTATTATGAAGAGCACCTGCGATGGTGTCATTTAGAAGTAAGGGCTTTATTTCAAAAGAGAAATAAGAACACAACGAGCTGGCTGGAAATGATAATGTTTTTTATATGTTTTACATACCAAAGCAAATTCCTCATATAAGTAAACCTATTTGGTAAGAAAACCGATTCTGATTCTGATTATACAACGATAATGAAGAATAGAGCTGTTACATTACATTTTGGACTTGCTGCCCTGACTAATCATTAGCACTCTTTGAGGGGTCCTCCCTGTCTGATTGTCTACAGGTGTGCTGGAGGCAGAGTAGCCCCCCCTCCCCAGCTGATTACCTCCTACAGAGACTCAGCAGCCACCTCCACGCTGCCAGACCGTAGAACCTGCTCGTCAGCCAGTTCAATATTAGTGATACCGGTTCTCCTCTTTTCCCTTGCCTGATCCTGTTCAGTTTTTTCTTCCCTTGCAGTCCTGTCTGCTCCAGCCCCTGTGGACCGCTCAGACCCTGACCCATAACCCCCTCCCTGGACCCCCTCCCATTCGGCTCCCCTTCACACCCCGGACTCCCCATCTCAGCTCTGATCAACCACACATTTTTCAAACAATAAACCTTTTTTCAAAGCTACTCCTGCTACTGTCTGAGTCCACACCTGGGTCCACCTGTTCAGCTGCCTGAACCAGACCTATGTCAGGTCAACATTGATTTGATATATTTCTCACCTCAGCCATGCTGGTGGGAACATATCAGATGTAAAGATCACACTGTATGGATTTTATCCACACACACACACACACACACACACACACACACACACACCACACACACACACACACACACACCACACACACACACACACACACACACACACACACACACACACACACACACACACACACACACACACACATAGCTCAGAGATCACAATGGGGGGGTTCTTTGTATTATTTGCGCTCTTCATATTTACAGTAGTTCCACACTGAGTTGACAGAGGCAGTGGATCAGCTCCGACAGCCGTGCCATGTTGTCAGAGCTGATTGGTGTTTAAACGGGCGTGCAGTGTTTACTCTTTGTTTGTTGTTACATTAGTTGTGACAAACCCCAGATCAGCTGTCAGCAGCTGTCTGTCAGGAAGCCTTCAGCCTGATCCCACTGAAGAGGAACTGTATTTTAAGTAATACCTTGCACCTCACAGTTTATATGTTTGATATGAGTGATGATATATAATGTAATCCCATTTGTTCCTCTTTTATATTTTCAGGCCTTTCAAAGCTTTGTCTCTGCTCTGGTCCAAATCAGTTTCAAGTGTGGTTTCCACTTGGTGTTGTTTCATTTAACACAACTAGAGTCACTTATTAAAAGCCACATGAAAAATCCACTCTGGTTCATTGCTAGTTTTGGGCGTGGCTGTTCCCTGTGCATGCCTGTTCAACATGGTCCGATTGTCCTGCTACTGTGACTGTGGCACAGTTGTAGTTTCAGTTTGATTGTTTTCTGTTTCATTTTAAAGTTTTATTTCAATGATGTCTGTTTTTTGTATGTCTTTGTGTATTTCCCCCCTGTTTGATAGTGTCTCCTGGCGTTATTAGTTACACCAGGTTCCCATAAGCCCTGAAATCCCGTGTCCTCATGTACACCTGCACTTTATCTGCACTTTAAAGTGTTTTCTGTTAAAGGTGGGGTAGGTAATTCACTTCAGAAACACTTGTTGTTATTTTCCATTGAATGCTCTTAACATCCCGATAGCAATGAATACATTAAGTGCTTTGACTATAAATACATTAAAAAAATTAATCTCTGGAAGCCGTAGCGCTGTAAAAAGCACGACCAATCATCTGAGCCGGCCCGGCTAAAATAACTTATCTCGTGCCCTCATTGGTCATGTGCACGTTCGTGTGTGTTGGAGGAGGGGCTCTGTAAGGAAGAGGCAGATTTTTTTTCCCCGGCTGCATACTTTCAAATTCTAGTGCATTCGAGCTGGTTTCTCCATTCTTACCTACCCTACCTTTAAGTCTTCCTGTCTCATGCGTTTGGGCCTGACCCCTCCCCTCCTGCTGACAGCGGTGGTCTGTCACACTGTCCCGAAATTGACACCAGATGGACACACGAATATGGAATTGTGAATTTCGCACTAAGATGGCCCCGAAGTTGGTCAACAGCCAAGCAACAGCCGAAGCAAGTACGATGCCTACAGAAGGCCACATGATGGCACCCACACACCATACCGAACCACACACGGAAATATGGTCGTAGACTTTACTGATGATTTAGAATTTACATTACATTACATTATTACATTACATTGCATTTAGCTGACGCTTTTATCCAAAGCGACTTACAATAAGTACATTCGACCAGGAAGACACAACCTTGAAGAAAACAGAATCATATAAGTACATAGAATGTATCCAGACTCAACGTAAGAGCTTGTGCCTCTTCGGGGGGTGCTAACATTTAAACATACACTTTATTCTTTACTTTCTCCGTCTTTATATGTAGATTAGAAGATATTACTTATCTTCGTCATGTTGTTTCCATAGCAACAACAACTTCCTGTCAACAGCGTAAACTCACCTTCAAAATAAAAGCATCTAAATAAAACAGGAAGTTAACCTAAATTACATTTAAGACATACAACTGCAACGAAAGTAACAAAAACAATGTAATATCCTTTTCAGTTTCACAGAACACAAATTGAGTTATTTACATAATATGTTTACATGATTTTGTTGTGCAATAAATGCAATCTCGATGTCATCGTACTATAATACGACGGCTACACGACGGCATTGCGAGGGCTTCACGTAGTCGTGTTGCCTTCCAAAGACAGGGTCGGTGTCATGGGGGGTCATTCGTGGGCTATGCCCCCCCAAATGAGTCACTGTGCCCCCCCCAACGCAGGGTGGGCAAGCCTTGCCACTTTGCCGTTTTTTTTTTTTTAATCATATAAGTGATATTACGTTTCCACTAAAGGTTTTTTGTGTGAAATAAATCAGAAATAAAGAATACAAATATAAAACACAGCCTGAGGTGTGCTCACTGCTGCTCTCTGATTGGTGTGTTGCTTGACCAATGACCCCCGACCTTTGTTTTGTTATCATTACGTGGCTGTGTGTTTAGATGAAAGCCCAGTGGCGATCTGTTCATCTGCTACACTGATTATACAGTAAAGCCATCGAAAATAATATGATATACAGTACAGTAGAAGTACTTCTGGGTCTCTGTGTTTCATTCAAGCTCGGCTCTGTGTGTGTGTGTGTGGCACGAGCGCATTTTGTGAGTGCGCGAGCGGTAACGTGGAATGTTGTTGTTAGCATCTGGTTAGCTAGCTATGCTAACGGATATAAAGAGCTGTTTCTACACCAAGGTGGAGGAGAGTCCTCTCCTGTCAGACTGAGAGGATCGTATAACCTCAGCTCAGTGAGGTAAGGACTCTCAGTGTTTAGATAGTTCACTTTAGTGAAGGTTATCTCAGTGGGTCTCAAACGGTTTGGTCACCATTTATGTAAACAAGTATTTGCGAGGAATACCTTTATATGATCATTATAGTTATTAAAGAATAAGAGAATAAATGAAAAACGGGTATGAAATACTATAGGACAGTAACACAAGAATACAGTAAATCTGTTTACAGTTCTGTTTCATATGGGTGCTGAGAGATGTAGGCTATCCATAGACATGTGTATATTTTGAAAATGTCATCCCAAAATGTCTCCTTTGGGATGAACAAAGAGGATTTCAGCTGGTAAAAAACCCACTTTTCTTTATACTCAGTTAGAGTGCAGTATTTACATGAATGTGAATGAATGAGTCTCCGGCCACATGCCACAAACTATGCATGTTAAATAATCGAAGTGCACATTAACATAGCTGCGATAAACAACATGTATCCAATCATAGCATGACATGTCTTCTGTCCTCACTCACTCTGCTCTTACCTGGTCCCAGTCTATACTGCGGAAAAATGTGTGTGACTTGATATCTGTGTAGCCCGTCTCGACCTGGCACCCCAGCCGCTCCTTGGGATCCTGTTGGGACCAAAACAGCTGGTCAGCGAGATAAACAGGAGCATCTGTATTTCAAATAGAGACTATTCTTTGTAATTCAGCATCTGCATGTAAACAACGCAGGTCTACTGTCAGGGTGATTATACTTAGCTCTGCACTAATAAAGTCCAGGGGGGGGTGTCAAAAGATAGCATTCACCCCATTTCCATATTAGATGTTAATAAGAGAAAGAGCCAACGTGGACAATTAGCAATAATGCTGGCCACACATGTTTTCATCATGGTTATGTGCACATGTGGCCCCCCCCCGCTGCCGCTCAGCTCGGACTGCGCTCTGTTCATCACAACAATTATTCTGAAGACTTAAAGAGAGGAAGTGCATGTGAAGGCTGTTAGCAGCCTCATGCTAACAGATACACTAAGACGTCACACACATGCAACCTTGTAGTCGGTAACAAACTGATTAAAAAAAAATATATATATTTCTTAAAGGGCCGTACCAGTGTGTTTTTTGTGTTGTTACTACAAATCATAAACGTAATGTTGATTTTTTTTCAGGCCACTTCCATTTATTAGTATGACAAGGCTTGAAACCAGAATGAGTAAAATAATAACTCTAGTGTTATATTACCTATTTATTTTCTTCAACAGACAAAAAAGGACACATTTGGTGCTCTAGTTAGTATTTGTGGTCACAGGACAATGTGTGTGGATTAAGTGAAAATAACCTACAGTGTGTTATAAACGTGAACATGTCACCCAGTCCAGCAGTGTAATGGCAAACAATCAGCATGTATGTTGTACTATTGTCCCAATGTGTTTTACATCTTACATTTGAAAGTAATTTACATTGTTTTGTTGTAGTACATACTAAACTTTAGTATTAACATGATTCCCACTTGTATTTATTTGCATTGCATTTGATATTGAGTCAATTAAAAAGGATGGTAAGTAATCAGTTTACATTAATTACATTTTCTGATACCAAGATAAGTTTACATTTTGTACAGGTAATTGGTAATTGTAACTGAATACATTGGTTATTATTAGGATTTCACCATTATTGTAGCACAGGACAACATAATAAATACTGGCCATGATCCTACAATGAGCAGCAGTGTGCGCACGGACGCACGCACGGACGCACGCACGGACGCACGCACGGATGCACGTACGTACGCATACAGACACACACACACACACACACACACACACACACACACACACACACACACAACACACACACACACACACACACACACACACACACACGGAGGGCTGCGTTGGGAGGGACTGCTCTCACCTTGTTTAGAAAGCCCTTCAGCACGCTGGCAGCTTTCACTGACAGAGACCTTGGGATGCGAATGGGCTTCTCAAGAATTACTATTGGAGAGAAGAAGAGAGAGAGAGAGGGAGAAAGGAGGAAGATCGTGAGTAGGGAGGAGGATGATTCACAGTCCAACCTGCCTGTGGGTGACCATGTCTGCTGAGTGGGAGTCAAAGGAGGGGAGGAGATACAGAGGACTGTTCTCTTCTTCTCTCACTTCTGATGGTCTACACAAAGCCTTGAGACTCCCACAGCTTTACAATGTCATGCAACCGAGAACAAAAACTCGGTGAAAAATAGTTTTCCCTCAAAATCTAAAAAGGTTATAGCTCTGCCTCACACTGTAGTGCTTCAATGCACAGCTCAAGGTCACATTGTCAGTGAGTGCACGTGTTTACTCTCCATCACTACCATGTGTCAGAATATCAGGTGTGACAGAATAGTGTAAACTGTAAATCGGACATGGTATGCTCAGATCAGGTGTTTCTTTTGAGCAAAGAGGATTTCAGCTGGTAACAAAACCACTTTTCTTTATACTCAGTTGAAGTGCAGTAAGGACATGAATGTGAATGAATGAGTCTCCAGCCACATGCCTCATCAAGCTATTAGTGCATAGTTTCCCCTGGGTTTTGCCTCTCAGGCTACAGGCTTTTTGTTCCGTCTCATTTGTCACCTCATGCTACTTGTTTTATACCATGTTTTTCTGCAGCTGTTATTTATTAGTGATTTTTCTACTCAGGTGGACAACATGTATTATTGTACCGGGTTGTTCGGGGTCAGGATGATCTGCAGACTGTTGCTGAAATAAAGAAGTGCCTCAAATCTGCCAGAATTTGAACTGTTGTTCGTAGTTAAGATGCAATTAAAATATTACTTATGATACTCCATGGAGGAAAATGACTTTATAAGGTTCATTAAATTAACATTTTTGCCTTTTTTACTTCAAAATGTAAGTTTAAATTAGTGTAAATCAGGTCTATTGACCATAAATAAAACTATATTAATTATTAATATTAATAAGATGGAATGAAGTTGGCTAAAAAGGTGTAAAACAGAATACGGTGATTCATTATATAAGCTTAATAAAGAGTCAACAAAAGTAGCCAGGAAGACAAAACAAAGGTTAAAGAACCATTATTCTGGAAAGCACAATATCCAACTTTGTCATAATGTATTATTTGCTAGATTAATATAAATCGAAATAAATACAACAAACAGAATTCACTGAATTCCATAGTTTTATTTCAATGTGTCCCTCCAGCTTTAACTTGGTGCTTGTTTAATGTCGTAAAATAATCCTCTCACTTGTCAGGGAAATGACACCAAAAACAGAAGAGCACAGCCATGTTCCAAAACCTCTCCGGTGCACATTAAAGCTGAATACATATTGGTACAAAATGGTAAGACTAGTTTAGTTATTTACAGCCGATTTGAGCTTATGATAGATATACAGAAATACTGTTCTATTCATTCAGCCTGATGAATACTTAGAGAGATAACTGGGGAAAAGCTACTTGGTTTACCTGGAGTGAAGATGTTGGCGTTTATAATATATTTCTGTTATTAAAATTGTACATGTTATCACAAGAATGCCACCTTGTGCTTGGCTCCCCACTGAGTCAAATGTATGTGTGTCTGGAGCTATAGGGTTGCAGCACTGGGACCCAGAGCAGGGCTGGCACAGGAACCATAGGTGGCATATGGCTGGGCGGCACCTATAGAGAAAGGGTTGGTTTCCGTTGGCAGGAACTGGTGTAAGAACCTGCTGCTCCACCAGCGAGACGGCAGGAGGACGGGCTGGTGGCAGATGCTAGCCGCGGAGCCCTGACAGCCACAGCAGAGACATATTGCGTCACACGAGGCTATATGGAGGAATTTCTGTTCTACAGGACTGTGTGGGTGGCTGTGTGAGAGAGGGAGGTAAAGGGAGGGGGTCTATGTGAGGCTACCATATGGCTCCAGGAACACAAATACAAATAGGACAGAGATTATAGAGGGTGTGATCAAACCAAAACCTTGTTTCCTTTGGTCCGAACCAAAGTTAGCTTTGTTGTTATTGTGTATTAAGTTGTGTCGCTTTTCAATGTAATGTCATTTCCTTGAGAACTAGCCGATCCCTAGAAGGTTAAAATCTCACATTGGTGAATGTTAATTACAATATTGTGGTAAATCCTTGAAGGTAATGCATTTGTTTTACAGTCGCTCGTCTAAAACGTGGCTTTTATCCAATGACTGTTTAGAAAGCAAGACAGGGATATAACCATTACCCTAATTAACATTAGGGTCAGATGTCCATCAATCAACAAGGTCTGGAAATGTATGTATCTAAGTTCTAACCCTATCGTCTATTCCTTGACCTCTGAGTGAAACGTCACGGGGTTAAGGGATAGTGGATAGGAGAATTCAAAAGGACTTAGGAGAAGAGACTGCGGTACTTTAGAGAATCGACTGCACTTTCACTATCCCACGTGTTTATGATGCGCCAGCGGACGTCATGAATGTGCGTCTGCTGCTGTGGGGAAACTATGGAAACTACAGTTTTCTATACAGCGGACTACAACATGGATGTTCAATAAGAACGAGGGACTACTGTAAACTCATCTAGAGACTCTGTGCTCTGATGCTGTTGCTTTGCTTTATGAACGTGGACAACAGAGAAACATATTCTTCATGACCAAAGTTGGAATTGAAATAAAAAAGGAAAGTGAAACTTATGCTCGTCACCCTCTCCCTCCGATCCACATTAATACAAATGATCCCAATACGTATGATTGTATGAACTATGAAAATATCTTAAAATCAATACAAATGTATTTATTATAAACGTTAGTCCTTAACATCTATCACTGTGTATATCACCATTCAAACATCTTTTAAAAGTTGAACAAACCCCACACAGCTCAGTAAAGACTGTGAAATGTTGACTTTATTTGATCATTTCAGTAAAAACTAACGTTCATATTTCTCTTTTTGATTATAATACTGATGAACGTTCAGAACAAAGCACTTTGGCAACTTACCACATACGTTTTAAAAAGCTTAATAAGCACCGTAACTTTCATGATATCATTTCTCGGTCATAATCGGTTGTTTCCGTGAAGACTGTTGTGATGGCAAATGCTGCGGCTGCAATGCATTGTGGGGCAGCACTTTCTCCTCTCCTTTCGGTGAGGGAGGTCCAGTGGTTCCTAAGCTAAAGGAGGTTATAAAGGAAGTTTGAAACCTCCTTTCCTATCATCTAGAGAATTGGAACGGCACTTATCATGGCTGCCACTGAGGGACTTCCGGGTCATTTCACTCCGTTAGGAAGGTTCCTAAGCTAAATGGACTATTCCACTTCAGCCCCTGTTTCTTCCTCCCCTTGTGTGCCATCATCAGCGTCTGCCCCGCCCCTGATTGTTTCCACCTGTTCCCACTCACCTCATGTTTAAATAGTCCTGTCTCTTCCCTGTCCTGTGTCAGTTTGTCTTGTTTGTTTCTCCGAATGGTCGTGCCAAGCCTCAGCTCAGAAAGGATCGCTTTCACTCATGTCAGGTTTTGTTTCTTTTGTTAATTTTGTAGGCTTAAGTTTTTCTTAAGTTCTCTTTTTGTTATGCCTTTTGTTATTTCCAGTACCTACTCTGTTAAGAGGGATTACCTGATCTGTGAAATTAAAATGACATTTTTTTACATTCAAGACTTTGTCTCTGGGTCGTGCATTTGGGTTCATCAGTTTGAGTCGAGATCCTGACAGTATTACCAAACAGATAAGGTTACAGCAGCTGAAATAGTGAGCGTTTACCACACTGTGCAGAACACAAGTCAGTAGACTGTGGTAGTAAGCTAGCTCCTGTCAACCTAAAGTAAAGCCTTGTTATTAATATGTAAGAGCAACTAAATGTTTATTTGTTAGGGTTACATGGACATTACAATTTCAATCTGAACTAGGTCTTATCATTACAGTAATATGTCCCACACAAACACACTCTTTGTCCCACATGTGGCTTGTTGGCCCCTGGCCCCCCTGGCTGCAGGCCTACACATGGAAGGGATTTATGGGTAACTGCACGTAGCAGTGAGGGACATCCTCTCATCTGCACAAGTTCCACATCTACTCAAGGCTTTCTGTGGGCCTCCAAATATGTTCAAAACAATGTCCCCGACCGTATGTTCCCGCCTTAGAGACATGTGCACAGGTATCATTTGGAGACATACTGTATGTGTGGCTGGACACCATTCTCCGTAGATGCAGAATGATAAAATACCTTTATCATTTGACACTTGAAGCACTCACAGACACTATTGAGAGAAAATAAATAAAGTAACCGAGGCAAATTCCATCAGTGCATGCTCGAAATGCTGCTTCTCTTCAGCGTCAAAGGCATTAACACGCTTACACAGAGCTGTAGACGGATGCACTGCGATGTACCGTATGACATTATGAGGAAAGACTCACAACTCTGAACAGTTATTATGGCATCATTACTTTCATCCTTCATTTGGAAAACCATCAGATACAGCTATCCAACACAACAATGATCGGCAGATATAGAGCATTGTGGGATGTTGACACACATTTTTCTCTCAAGCGAACTGGCAATCGAAACCCCCGACGCCACAGCGTTACATTCATTACTCAAATATTCATTTCTTGCTCAGCTCACATGCAACAGATTTTCTTAATGTGCTTTAAAACAGTGGTTCTCAACTAGTCAGGCCTCGGGACCCACTTTTGGGTCGTGACCCACCAGTTGAGAAACACTGCTTTAAAACATTAAGAAACCAGTTTTTTTTCTTTTTCTGCCTGACCACCATATCGTCATCCAATGGGGTTTAAGAGACCATATACTCTGCCAACAGAGTATTAAACTCATACATCGTCACTTTTGAGGTAGAAATAAACACAGACAAAAAATGTACATCAATAGGTGTCATGATTCTTGTGTTATGTCACGTTTTAGTTTTGTATGTCTTGTTATGGGTGTGTTTCTGTTCTCTCTGTCATGTTTTCCTCCTTGTGTATTGTCTGGTCCTTTTCCCTGGGTTTTTCCTCCCTGTCGTTAGTTTCCCTGGTGTGTCTAATTGTTTGATTGTGTTCACCTGTGGCCCTTGTGTTTCTCCTCCCCTGCCCGGCTGTTTCTCGTCTGGTGATTACCCCTCCCTGTATTTAGTCTGGTCTCTTCCTGTGTTCAGGATTGGTGCTTCTTTTGTTTGTGACCTAGTTCACCGTAGAGTGTTTTGTTTGTTTCCATGTGATATGTTCGATAAGAGCCCTTGAAATAAAGGTATTATCAGTATTATCTGCGTTTGGGTCCTACCTGCTTCACTCCGCGTATCAGAAAGCACCAACCAAGAAATGGGCCCAGCAGATCCGTTCGAGCTGGAATTATTGAATTTTTCCTTTTTTTTGGCTAACTGCTCGGATCGATGGAAGAGAGCACCCGGAGTTCAGCAGCGAGAGGCGGTGTTATCAGAGGCGCGCCAGATGGCTAGAGAGAAACCAGGTTTGGTGAAATTCTTACCTGGCTGGATTTCAAAGATCCTCCCGGTGTGTGATTCCCGGCCTGCTAGCCCCAGGCATGCTGGCTCCCAATTCCCAACCTGGCACCATACGCCTTGGTGGGTTCCGCCTACACTCAACCCGTGCTTCTGCTCCAGTTCCTGTTGTATTCCGGAACTCGTCTGGCTTATGGAGGTCCACGGAGTATTCAGGCGGCTGCTAAGAGGAGTCGTCGCAAGGCCAGGCTAGCAGCCGGAGCAGCCACAATTCCGGCTCCAGAACCGGACCTTAAAGCCATGTTTCCGGCTCCTGAACCGGACCTTACAGCCATGTTTCCGGCTCCAGAACCGGACCTTACAGCCATGTTTCCGGCTCCTAAACCGGACCTTACAGCCATGTTTCCGGCTCCAGAACCGGACCTTACAGCCATGTTTCCGGCTCCAGAACCGGACCTTACAGCCATGTTTCCGGCTCCTGAACCGGACCTTACAGCCATGATTCTGGCTTCAGTACCGGCCCCAGTAGCCATGGTCCCGACTCCAGTTTTGGCTCCAGGACTGGCGTACCGGCCAACGCCAGCTCCCCGAGTCTTGTCTGCGTACCGTCCGACTCCGGCACCTCGGCTCCTGCTGGCTCCCCAGCCGACGCCAGCTCCCCGAGTCTTGTCGGCGTACCGTCCGACTCCGGCACCTCGGCTCCTGCTGGCTCTCCAGCCGACGCCAACTCCATGTCTTGTCCCGTTGGAGGTCCCGCAGACTACTCTTCTGCCGGGGGTCCTGCCAACCCTATGTCCCGTGTTGTTGGAGGTCCCGCAGACTACTCTTCTGCTGGGGGTCCTGCCAACCCTATGTCCCGTGTCGTTGGAGGTTCCGCCGACTGCTCTCCGGCCGGGGGTCCTGCCGGCCCTGTGTCCTCTTCCGTGGGGAATCTTGCCGACACCTGTCCCACCGGCTCCGGATCCTGTCCGGTCGACACCGGCTCCTGCCCGGCCTCCGGTGCTGTCCGGTCTTCGCCCTCGAGCCCGGTCCCCTGAGTTTGCCCGCTGTGGTCTTCGCCCCTCCTCGAACTCGGCCTTGCCCCCGGGCCGTCCGCCCGAGACCCCTTCCTCGAACTCGGCCTTGCCCCCAGGCCGTCCGCCCGAGACCCCTTCCTTGAACTCTGCCTTGCCCCCGAGCCGTCCGCCCGAGACCCCTTCCTCGAACCCTACCTTGCCCCCGGGCCGTCCGCCCGAGACCCCTTCCTCGAACCCTACCTTGCCCCCGGGCCGTCCGCCCGAGACCCCCTCTTCGAACTCTGCCTCGCCCTGGGCTGTCAGCCAAGGCCCGTCCTCCGGACCCCCTCCACCCACCCTGCTGGACGTTGTTGGATTTTTGTTTTGGTGTTTAGGGACGTCTAGAATCCGTCCCTTGAGGGGGGGGTTCTGTCATGATTCTTGTGTTATGTCACGTTTTAGTTTTGTATGTCTTGTTATGGGTGTGTTTCTGTTCTCTCTGTCATGTTTTCCTCCTTGTGTATTGTCTGGTCCTTTTCCCTGTATTTTTCCTCCCTGTCGTTAGTTTCCCTGGTGTGTCTAATTGTTTGATTGTGTTCACCTGTGGCCCTTGTGTTTCTCCTCCCCTCCCCGGCTGTTTCTCGTCTGGTGATTACCCCTCCCTGTATTTAGTCTGGTCTCTTCCTGTGTTCAGGATTGGTGCTTCTTTTGTTTGTGACCTAGTTCACCGTAGAGTGTTTTGTTTGTTTCCATGTGATATGTTCGATAAGAGCCCTTGAAATAAAGGTATTATCAGTATTATCTGCGTTTGGGTCCTACCTGCTTCACTCCGCGTATCAATAGGAAATAAAAACTAAATACCAAAATGAGTGCATGTTCTCCAACGGTTATTTTCCTTATCAAATGATATCACTAATGTAAATGCAACAATAAGTTACTCAAATGCCAATAAATCTCACAAACTAAAATAAAACAGGAGTGGATTGAGAGACTACAGCAAACTAAAGCTAATTAACATGTGAGAGAAATAACATTAGCTTTATTTCTGAGGTTCACTCATTTGAATGAAGCATACAGACCCATCTAAGCCTGGATTTACAAACACACATAAATCCTTTACAGCCCAGAGGTGATTGTTATTTACATGGCATCTGTTTTCCACACTCTCAGTTATGCGTCACAAAGGGTTAAACTAACATTTGTTTAAATGGCACCACACAGCCTGCCAGACGCTCTCAATACTCATATTTGATTTCCCAATATCCCTCCACTGCTAATCCATAAAGCACAGGATGTAGTGAGGAACTGGAAACATCCTGATCATGAAACAGGGACCGACATTACAGAATATAACTGAAAACTGCTGTATGACTTTTCTAAATAAATAACTTTAAAGTGAAAATATACTTTTGTAAATATGTATTTAGTGCTTAAGAACTGCAGAAACATCCATCATTTATAATCCAAATTAAACAGTTTTGAGAAAGAAATACGCCCCCAAGGCTATTATTGTCTGTCTAACACTGGTTGCCATGGTATTTGTTCAGAAATGTATGATCTCCACAGGATGATTACAAATTATTTATAATATTTTCGCCAGCTCCTTCATCAGGACAACATTTTCCTCGGTTTTTATTCTGTTGGTCAAATTTCCATGCCAGCATATTTTTTAAAAGCACAGTCCTGCCTCCCCAAATAATGAAAACATGTTCAGACCCAGCTATAATTTGATCATTTATGATAGCTGTTTTATAATATGACTTTTTGATATTGTTGCTTTTACAGGGTAACGTTATGCCTATGTTTTTTACTGACAGCATTGATAAACTACACGTGCAATAAAAAGTAAAGTGCAGTACAAAGGGTTTCAAAATAATAACCTGTGTTTTCGCGGTCCTAGACGGCCGTGCCTACAGGTGTGTATCTCACAGGTGTATCTCACAGGTGTATCTCACAGGTGTATCTCACAGGTGTGTATCTCACAGGTGTATCTCACAGGTGTATCTCACAGGTGTGTATCTCACAGGTGTATCTCACAAGTGTATATCTCACAGGTGTATCTCACATGTGTGTATCTCACAGGTGTGTATCTCACAGGTGTGTATCTCACAGGTGTATCTCACAGGTGTGTATCTCACAGGTGTATCTCACATGTGTGTATCTCACAGGTGTGTATCTCACATGTGTGTATCTCACAAGTGTATCTCACATGTGTGTATCTCACATGTGTGTATCTCACAGGTGTGTATCTCACATGTGTATATCTCACAGGTGTGTATCTCACAGGTGTGTATCTCACAGGTGTATATCTCACAGGTGTGTATCTCACAGGTGTGTATCTCACAGGTGTGTATCTCACAGGTGTGTATCTCATATGATAGGTGTATATCTCACAGGTGTATATCTCATAGGTGTGTATCTCACAGGTGTGTATCTCACAGGTGTGTATCTCATAGGTGTGTATCTCACAGGTGTGTAACTCACATGTGTGTATCTCACAGGTGTGTATCTCACAGGTGTGTATCTCACAGGTGTGTATCTCACAGGTGTATATCTCATAGGTGTGTATCTCACAGGTGTGTAACTCACATGTGTGTATCTCACAGGTGTGTATCTCATAGGTGTGTATCTCATAGGTGTGTATCTCACATGTGTGTATCTCACAGGTGTGTATCTCACAGGTGTGTATCTCACAGGTGTGTATCTCACAGGTGTGTATCTCACAGGTCTGTATCTCACAGGTGTATTCAACTCTATGTATAGTTATCTCCTTCGCCTCACCTTGGAAGAGGTACTCCTCTGTGTTCATGTCAGGATTGTCGGTGATAATATCAAAAGGGGATCTCCCAGCCATCATCTCAAACATCAGCACGCCCAGAGCCCACCAGTCCACGCTGAAGCCTGGGGGGGGGGGGGGCACAACAAAAACATTCTTAAGACAAACAAGACTCAGAGAAACTAATTATCATTGTTATGAATTACCAACTCAGGCATGTTTGGTCAATGGTGAAAGATGTTCTCTCTGTACGTGCACTACTACTAAGAAATGTGCCTGATGCAGTTAAGGCTAATTACATATCAGTATTTAGTCCCTCTACTGGGACATGTCTCCATGCTTTCATGTTCAAAAAGCTCTTTTCCTCATACTGCCTGTGCTGCAGCTCCTCTTTTCACCCTCTGTCTGAAACCAGAGCCCAGTCTGCTCTGATTGGTTGGCTCAACCGCTTAGAATTGTCCCGCCCCTTGGCCTATCACGTCCATGTGTTAGAGCACTAGCCAATAGAAGTACAAGTGTTATATAGGGATGTCACTATATTAAGGAAGTAAACAGACCATTTGCATGCACACATACCTATAAAACACACTGCAGGAGAGGGAACACCCAAAAAACATAATAGGGCCTTAAATGGTGTTGATCTTAGCGTTTATTTCCGATTTGCTTTTCAACCGATGAACCCTCTAAAATCCTTTTAATTATACCTTCATTTAAAACAAAGATCCACTGTGAGGCGTCTTTTTGTAATTACGGCCCACAACTGAATGTTCATGCTTTTAAGAGCAGTGTCCTGTGTTTATGGACTTCTGTTGGTATTTACAATCAAAAATATTTGTTGTTGTTCGGTACTCACCGTAGTCCTCTCCTCGGAGGATCTCAGGGGCGATGTAGTTGGGTGTTCCACAGAAGGTACTGGTGGTGTCCCCTGGTCTGATGCCCTCCTGGTGAGGTGTAGGAGGAGGAACAGGGTGGAGTGATAATAAATAAAGTATATGATGTGCGAGAGAACAATTGATGGACAAAAAACAAAGAAATCAGTACTTCCAGTCGATACTGATCTTTTGCATTATTGATCATCCACGCTAGCCGTCCACACAGTGGACTGAAAAATCAACGTGTGTCTTACCTTGCACATGCCGTAGTCTGTGAGCTTGATGTGTCCCTCGTGATCCAAGAGAACGTTGTCCAGCTTCAGGTCTCGGTAGATGATGCCCTTTTCATGCAGGAAGTTCAGAGCGATACAGATTTCAGCAGCATAAAATCTGTGAAGAGAGAAATGCACAAAATGATGTTTCTGACCTGTCCTTGAGGGCCTACATCAGGCCGAAGATCTCCTCTGGTACACAACACGACAGATTATCTATAGCCTGTGGTAGCTGCATGTGTTGCCTTCACCTTTAAAAGGATTAAAACACAGCTGGTGCTTTCACTCTCTTGTAGCACTCCAGGTGAAACATATATTTTGTGGTTCTTTTCATAACCGCACTGTCTGTCAGCTATTTGCATTTTGCGACGCAATAACAAACCAATTCAATGCAAAGCGGCGAATGTAAACGATAACATCTCTTCAGCATTTATGCTCTATTCAAATGATGGATGTTTTAGCTGAGCCCTGATCGATTCAAACTCCATTCAGAAAACAAGAAACAAGGTGTGCTTGTCTTCTTCAGACAGACTTGACAAAGCATGAATTCTGAACTTTTTACAAATCAGCGTCAAGATGCATTTATCTCTTTTTTTTACAAATCACTGTAGTAAACCAGATAGACGGGAATTAACACAATTGACCACATGGTCTAAAGTGCCAAAGTTGGAGAGTGCATTCATGGCCCCCAGAGGATGGATCCATTCCATTCTGAACACTGTAAGCTTTAATCATAGTGCCATCATCAAGACTAAATGTCTTCTGATCAGAGAGATCACCAGGGTATCTGCTGACAACATACATGCTACAAAAGTAATGAACCGACTTGCACCAACCACGCTTACGACCAACTTGTTAACCTTCTGAAAGCTACAGCCTCCAGGGCTGAAGACTCCTTTAACGAGGGGAAATGTTAAGTACATTTTCACTGTGCCTGCAAATCATTACTCAAACTTAAAAAAATAAATAATAGCAGCCGTGCAGCAGGCATGGTTATTTCTAATTGATCAGTGATTTTTAGAGGTGCAAAGAGCTTCCTTAAGTCGATTATTCCCCTCATGGTGAACATATATTTATAGCAAACATAACCCTCTTGTTTTGACCGTGATTGGATGTTCTTGTTGTGCTTCTTGGTGAGTCAGTAGCGTTTCCTCTCCATGTGTAGGTAGAGTGTTTTCTGTCTCTGGGAGATAAGCCTTCATTAACAGTGACGGGCCCCCGCCTGCTGTAATTCCACGATTGTCAAACAGTGAGGGAGAGACTGTCGTGCGGAGATGTTTGACATCACGAATCCCACATCGCTCCCCCACGCTCTCTCTGTGACAGCCTCCATTGTACGCCGTGGCTCTGGTGCTTACATCAGACTGATAGAAGCTGCATCCTATCAGCAGCATCCATCGCCCACCGGCCCGCCTCCCCCACGGCGCGGGGGAATGCAGCAGGGCTCTCTCTAAGTGCGCTGCTCATGAATATGTACAATCATTATGAGTGATTAACATGCTGCTTTGCATATGTACAGCCACTGTCTCCAGAATACAGATTGCAGGGGCCGATAGGGGCCCAACGGTGCCTCTCTAAATTACCCAGCCTTTGATCCAGCATTTATCAGAGCCGCAGTTGGAATACCCCGCAAGTGCGCAGGCACAATGAATTATGGGTGCTCATTATATTTCTCAGTGGGGGAAAAATAAGTGTTACATTGGGTGTTGGCAGCGCAGCCACGTGCATGGAGCTGCTGAAGCACCGCATTAGGGTTTGTGAGGAGAAGAGGTTTGTGGTGCAGGAGCGCTTGAGACTGGGGATCTTCTAACACGCACTCTCAGTGCACCACAAAACACAAGATGCTTTCATGAAACTGATGCTTTATGTTCTAGCAAACATACTACACACCCTGTGCTTTACATAACATACTTTGAAGAGGACATGGGACATGTCTCCAGTCTTTAATGTTCAGAAAGCTCTTTAATTCTCTCATACTGCCTGTGCTGCAGCACCTCTTTCACCCTCTGTCTGAAACCAGAGCCCAGTCTGCTCTGATTGGTTAGCTGGCCAGCTTGTGATTGGTCAACAGCTTAGAGATGTCCCGCCCCTGAGCCTTTCACGTACAATGCGTTGGAGGCTAGCCAATAGAAGCACGAGTGTTACAAAGTGATGTCACTATGTTAATGAAGAAAACAAATGAGTCCAATTGAGGCGTTTCAGGCAGTGTGTGGGAGAGAAACTCCCTCTGGAGGGAACACAGGGATTGTAGTCTTTGTAGAGCATTAACATGCACACACACACACACACACACACACACACACACACACATATAACACACTGCAGAGAAGGGAAAAGCCCAACAAGCTAAATCGGCCTCTTAAATGTTTCAACCCAAACATTTAGTCTTGTGTATAGAAGTGTTTCCTGTGTAGCCACCACAAATCCAGTCCTACATTCACACACTTGCTCTGATCACACAGGGTGTTCCTGGAGGCCCACAGCAGTCCCTGGTCCTGGCTTTTGATTTTTACAGTACAACATTTGGCAAAGGTAAAGCGATGTAGACAAGCTATATGTGTACAGGAACAGGATGCTCACCGTGCATGTTCTTCCGGAAGCTTCCTTTGTCGTTGCATATGAAACATCATGTCCCCGCCATTCACATATTCAATCACCAGGAATAACCTGCAAAACCGAGCATGATGGGAACATCTTGTGTCTTAATAGGCAGAAATAAAGAAATACATGATACAGATGATATCATGAGGAGTCCAGTTATAAAAGATAATATGAGCTCATCACTTTGATTTCAATCCATATGCTTCTTTAGAAGGTATATTCAAATACAACACACAATAAATGTACCTGCCGTAGATTATAAAAACAATATTATTCCTCTATTCTGTGCATTAAAGTCCCACATAACTCTTGTTTCATTGGAATGAACATGGCCAGGAATATATGATCAGTCAGCTTTTGTGTTTGCATTATAGCTGAGAGGAATGTAATACTATTGCTAATTCAACTCTATGTTTAAATGTCTTTGTATGCTATGGCTGGGTTGTCCATTTGTTTTTGAAGATCCACGTTATTATTTTTCACGAGTGAAAACTGAGGACACATCAATGCAGAAGGCAATTAGGAGATCATAATAATCTGAATAATATATAAGGTAATGAAAGGGAAGGAAAACTATCAAAATATCCAGGACCAATTCATAAAATATACAATATCCACATACTAATGCACATAATGTTGTGGTTGGAGCTTTTGATGTATTTGCACCTTAAGAACTAAAATGGTGATATTGCATGAAATGATATAAACCAGCTTGATGATTGAATAAAGAGCAGAGCACCATCAGAGAGTATTCTGAAAGGTCCTGTCAGGTGTGTGAGCTGCAGCTGAGATGTCAGCCTCCTCATGCTCTTACCGACTTTCTGTCTGGAAACAGGAGTGGAGGCCTACTAGGAATGGATTGGTGGACGCCTGCTCGAACACATGCTTCTCTGTCTGCACCCAGTCGATATCCTGGAGAGGGGGGGGAGACGGACGGAGAGATAATGTATTAACAATCAATGTGTCTGATCGATACACTTTCTCTGTGGTTAAACAGAGAGGGGGAGACACGCCATGCCACAGATACACAATCCTATAAGAGGGGTCATTACCTCCAGTCTCTGGCCATTACCCAGGGCATTGTTAGTGAGAGATAAAGGGCCACTCCAGGTTACAAAACCATGGCAGATCTACCCAAAGACCGGTAGCTTCCTGAGGAGCCACCATGTGCCTTTGGTCAGTGGACTGCTTTGGCCCATTTCAGAGCGATTCACCTTCTTACCTTTATTTTGAAGCTCTGTTCATAACGGTCTTGTCTGTCAAGCCCTTACATTTGCTTTGTGCGTCGCAATATGGAAATAAAGAGTAAGGCGGAAATGAAAACAACAGCTTTAATGCTCTATTCAGAGCTGAGGTGTGAAACTCGTTTGAGTTCAGGGGCCACATTTGACCTCAAGTGGGCCAGACCAGTATAACCCTAGCATAATAACCTATAAATAACCACCATTTCAAATTGTTCCCTGAAAATGTTCACATTTAATGAACTATCTATTCAAACTAAAGGGGGAGCTGCCTTGACAATGTGAACATACCAAATGCATAAAAGTTGTGAAAACTGGGGTTCATGTCTTTTCTGTAATTTGTACTCTCTGAAAAGTCATCTTTGGAGAACAGATTGGAGCCTCTGGGGGGCAGGTTTTGGCCCCCGGGCCATATGTTTGACACCCTGAATTAGACAATGTTATGTCCAAGGTTAACCTGTTTGATCTGAACTCCATGCAGAATTTAAGAAGTTGTTTTCTTGTTTACTGCAGAAAGACTTCACAAAGCACCAGACCCTTTGACCAATTAGCATCATGATTTAGGTATATTATATTGTCAACATTTGTGCCCAATATTATCATGACACAAATTGGGAGAGGTTCAAAAGTTGGGTTGATATCACTGTGTTAAACCAGATTCATGAATATAATGACCCTACGGTGTAAACCAGAGCGGCAGAGCCAATCGTGGCCCTGGAGGATAGACCCTTTCCACTCTGAAGACAAACAGTCCAGATAACTCAGTCAGCTGCTAAAAACATGTTAATGCTAAAAGAAGGAATAAAGCCACTCTATCAGTGAGTGTCCTGCAAATAGATTACAGCATAAATGCACTTTCAGGTTCATCTCTATCTGAAGTTAAAGCAAGCAGTGAGGGGCTGACGTGTTGGAGCTGAGAGAGATGTGTCTGTTATTGTGGTTACTCATTATATTGTGTGCAGGCAAAGACATTACAGGGATGGAACTATTATTATTTGACTAGGGTTTATGAAGTCTTTTAATCGTACGCTGTAGCACAGTCAGACCAGTTTTACAGAAGCTATTTTTTATCTTTTTATTTTGTAAGGTTAAAAAAAGACAAATATGGTTCAATCCTACATTTTTCTTTGAATTAAAACACATAATACATTTTGAAAGTAATTGCCGGACTTTTGAAATGCTCCGGAGTTATTCTAATTGTTTGGATAACTGAAGCGAAACTCAACAGCGGGTAAAAGGGAAGGGGTTTAAATAATACAAAAGGTTCCTTTAAGTATGGCCACTGGCATGAATAACCTTCAGTATCTGCGCAAAGATCCGTTTTCCATCATTGGTATCAGTCAGCTGTGGTTTGAATTGTCCGCACTTCAGTTACAGAGCTGAGTGCCTAGCCTGAGCCGGGGATGTTTTATGCCGATTTAAAGTGTCATTAAGTTGATGATGGTTAATCTTTTATGTATATGTTGTACTTGATACTAAATCCCTCCTGGTCAACTCATTATTACTTGAGGAATCTCTAATTATGCAGAATATGCAAGGCCAACATCTCTCGTATTGGCTCCTTTAGTAGTTAGTTTGTCTGAGAGAGCTCACTTTGATGTCAGTACCAAAGAGATACATTATTAAATGAATGTGCACGAGTAGAGCCATGAATACATGAATGTCCTATCACAACATTAGAAAGATTGTTCCTTAAATCCCATTCATTAGGGTAAAACTGCATTCATGGATCTTTTGCTTTTGTCACAAGTCATTAGGATTGAACAATGTTTTAAAATGAAAGTGTTTATATGTGGAAGAGAAGAACATATTAGAAGATGTTGAGTGGAGTTATGCAGCCTGTGACAGATGTTGGGTGCTGCAGGAGCTGCGGACAGTGATCCTGGTAGGAAACATCAGCCTGTGTTTTCACTTTACTGTTCAGGAGTTATCTGTTGAACAATATCGCCATCTAGTGGGCTCCCACAGCAACAACAACAACTGAACAATCAACAGGAGGAAGCACTCATCACAATTTAGTTTTACATTTCTTTTAAACGTTTTTTTAGGATATTTGCAATTGTGTTGCATGAATCCAACTGCTAAATATCAGTTTTCGCAAATCAGTTTTATCAGACTGTTTTGTGTTTGTTGGTGTGCAATGATTCTCTGATGAGCTTTGATTGATTGCTTCCTCCTGTTGATTGTTCAGTTGTTGGTGCTGGGGGATTGCACAATGTAACCACTGCCTTAACATGGTGGCAGTCTATGTGTTGAAGTGAATCATCATTACAGTGTGACAATGTAGTTACCTAACTAATGTTTACTTGGGCTGTTATAGGGCCGACTTTATAACTTCAAACAGGAAGGAACGGGAAGCTTTTAAAAAGGGAGTGGGAAGAGCATTCAACATGTATTATTTACTACATTTGACTATTTACATTGTCAGTTTTTATGTTTGATTTAGAGGCAATCCCTCGTCATCTGTGTCAAAATGCTTACTGTTTTTCAACTCCTTTCTCCAGCAGCAGATTTTCTGAGCCTTTATTTAATGTAACATGCTGTCATATACTGTAGAAATACCATAAAGCCCACAGTCTTGCTCATTTGATATGCTGTAATCCAGTACAACACAACATACTGTTTAAATGAGGGCTGTCAACATTAACGATCTGTTATCTATACTTCTTCATTTTTAATCGATTGAAAGCACTAGATGAAATCGATTATAAAACAAAACAGGGGAGTTAAGTTAATTCAACAATAATTCTGTAGTCTCTGTATCTAACTGTTATTTGACAATGAAATTATTAACAGTGTATTTAAAACACTGTTTTGTTGCAGCTTGGAACAAATTAATAATTGCAAGGTATTGCTAAATAAAATAATGAGTAAAATGTCAGAGGTCAGGTGGGAAATACCCATCACAATGTCTTCAAGCCAATAGTAATAATTCAAAGTAAAGCAGAAAATGTTAATGTTAAAGAAACTGGAATCAAAACAGATTTCAGATCAGTTTAAATTGTTGAATATTCATTACCCCAAACGCAACATCTTGCAAGAAACAGCGTCTGAGAGCTTCTTAACATTTAACAAACTATGAATGTGTCATACCCACTTAACGGGAAGAAACTCAACTATCAGACAATATTAAAAATGTTTAGCTAAACTAAACACAAGGGTAATACCAAGCCTCTGAATTAGCCCTGAGCAAAGAAATGCTAACGCACTTAGCACAGAACTCACGGTAGAAATACCTTAATACTTAACGGATCTGCACAAACAAGATATCACGTGAAAGCTGAAATTCCACAGATTCCAGAAGTATAAGTGTCATCACTGCGCGACCAAAACTCAGGGCAAGGACAAATTGAGGCTTCAAAATATGAGAAGACTGATCAATACCTCCATAATCTTCAGTGTGGTTAGCTATGAATCTTCCAAAACTTCCAAACACCTTGTCCTGGACATAGTTTCTACAGTATAAACTGTGCAACAGTACAGTAGGCCCACACAAACTGTAGAACACCGGGGCTTTGAGAACACTCAAAATTACTTAAAATGATTTAATTCCCATTTAACCTGTTAAGGGGCTTTCCTCCCCCGTTTTTTTCCTCACGAAACTGTGTCTCAGGGCTTCTTAAAATGTAATAAACTATTCATGTGTCCTACTCATTTAACGGGAAGAAACTCAGCTAACTGATGATATGAACCATGTTTACCGAAACAAAACACAAGTCTCACAAGAAGCGTCTCACAAGAAGCGTCTCACAAGAAGCGTCTAAACGAGCCCTGAGCGAAAAAATGCTAACGCACTCTAGGTATAAATCAATCTATATACTTATCGGATATGCACAAACAAGCTTAGCTAACAAGCTGAGATTCCACAGATTCTAGAAATATAAGTATCATCACTGAGCGATTAGAACTCGCGACAGGGGAAGCAAATACAGACATCACACGACGTAGCTTTAATTAGCAAAACACAGAGATATGCTCACCTTTTGCTGTTATTCTGATCAAAAACGAGAAAAACGCGGCTGAAGGTTAATCCATAGGTTAATCCAATGTGTCTGTCACTTTGAAAAAGTATTAATAATAATCCATAATTCCATTTTTATGTCAAAAACTGAGTTTTCATATTAGCTGCTAATGATAGCTTCCAGAGTGTATGACAGCTTCCTGTTTTGTCTCCTTGGATACGAGTCCAAACAACTCACAGACTGCACCGGGCACTGACCTAGGCGCCCTGTGACCATCAGATTTGACGACGCTGATTGGCTGAAATTATGTTTCTGCGGCATAGTTTAAAGATAGCAACAGTTGGCTTCTGCTGCACTTGCTGCACTCTCGTCTGGGCGCTGTGCATAGCGCCCAGACGAGAGAGGGTAATGATACACGGGCAAGGCCAGGCAGGAAACATGTGACTTATCAGTAACTTTAGACATCGTAACACCATTTTGAACGAGATTTTATTGTAGATTATACATTTTCCTGATACCAATTATATAATATTTACCTTGTTTATTAAAAATAAAAAAAAGATTTTTTTAAATATATATATATATATATTTTTTTTTTAATGTGGGAAGAGGGGGGCGCCCCAATGGGCTGGCCCCCACTGGCTCTAACTGTTAAAAAAAATGTCAAAATCGACCGAGAGATATGACAAATTCACCCAAATGACCCCAGAAGTGTTTTTGTTTTTCTAAATCTCTCTAAAAAGGTCAAATGTCACTTGTTTTGCATCAATCTCGATACAGGGTACTTATTGTATGTTATAGTTTGTATTCCTAAAGCTTTCATTCTCCGATCCCATCATTCAAGGGCGGTTTTCACTATAAGTAATGTTTTTTTTTTGGACGGACACTATAATTTAATTTTTTTTACTGTGTTCAATCTGAATTTACTTTAAAATAAAAACATCCATATTGATTCTGACACTTCTACATACAACTCACAGGTTTATCATTGCTTTGAGAAAAAAGATGATTAATTTACCCCTTTTAGAAGTGAAGATATGGTCATTTGTTCTGGGAATGTTATTTTCGAGCCTGAGAACTGAAAAACAGGCTCGGGGCTTAACTAAGCCCAACGACAGAAACCATGTTGAAGATAACCCTCAAATACTGCTCGTGAACTTTGATTTGTATTTTGTACTGATCACACATCACCAGTATAGCACCTGAACTCTGCATTCATTCGTAAGAAGCCCCTATGGGCACAAATATTTCATATAGAGTACCCTAACATTACTGAGTGCTGTTTATCACAAGTCATGGACTATGTGATGAGATGTGGGGAGCTACGGGGGAATTGAGTATTTGGACTGAATGAATATAAACAGTATTTGCCATAACGATGTTGATCATAAACACATACATTGATAATTGAGGGTTGCGGCTTCCTCTTTCTCTTGTTGTGATATCGTAGATGGCTCATGGTTACACACACAGTGACCCATCCCTCCTCGGCACAGCACCAAGCGCCCCGGACAGTCCTTTGTGCCTGTAGCCATCAGGCTGCACAACAAGGGCTCAACAATGTGACACAAACTGGACATAAAAACACACTGTTTCCACAAATAAATATATATAATATGTATATATGACCCAATATGTATATATATGTTCACTTTAATCCATCTCTTATTTCATAGTTTTTTTTTATCATTTTTTGATTTTATCTTTAATTGTATTAATCTGTGTGAATCTGTGCTGTCCTGTTTCTCATCCTTACCCTGTTGCGGTTAAACTACTGAATTTCCCCACGGGGATTAATAAAGGTCCATCTTATCTTATTCATTAAGTGCCTGTTAGTCCACATCAAATGAAGACTAGTTAAGACATTGTGTGGCAACTGCCATTCTGAGGTGAGAGCTGAGAGGAACGCACATGTATGGATTTACCAGTGTGGGATACCCTAAGAAGGGGCACACACAGACCCTCAGGACAAAGGAGACCCATCAGCTCACCAATGTGTTCTGGCCATGACACATTTAGGTCTAGTGGCCTTCATCTCCCTCAGCTTGCTACATGTATGATTTATTTTTGCCTTTGCGTATTTTTGCTCCATGCTCTTACTTTGAAATGCGGAACCACATCATCAGCAGGCTATCAAAAAATGATTTTGTTCTTGTTTCACTGTATTCTCTATAAACACATGTCTGCATCTGAATGCATGATCGCAGGGCAACAGGGGACATATTTGTGTATCTTTAGAGAGTTCTGATTTTCGATTAGTACGGTGCACCTGTGTCACATACTTTCTGTCTCACCTCATCATCGTGGACCAGCTCCTTCTTCACCACCTTCATGGCGTACACCTGCTTGTTCTTCTTCAGCCGGACCAGCAGCACCTTGGCGTAGCTCCCCCGCCCGATCACCCGGATCAGGTCGAAGTCCCCGAGCCCCAGGGCTAGGCCGGGGGACAGCTTGATGCCGTCAATCCCGTCCACCACCGCCTTGATGTCCTGCAGAGGGCACAATGCAGTGAGTGCATAGATACTCTCACATATATATACAGGTAGGCCTACGAGGTTTAAGATTAAGTAGAACATATTATTGCAGCTTGTGACTGCAGTTGAACAAGGAAAAAGAGAGCAATCATTGTAAAAGTTTGATTAAATCATAATGATTCAATCAAAATCATAATACTTTATTTATCTGGGGAGGATTGTGTTTTCTGACAGTTGCTCCATTTTAAAATCAAATCAAATGAACAATAAATAGTAGGGATGCTCCGATCGATCGGCCGCCGATATTGTAAAATACATGACACTTTTCTCTGTGCGCGGCAAAACGGTGTCCGAAAAAGACAGTAAAATAGCGGTATGCAACGTGTGTGATGCAGCGTCCACACGGAGGCGTGCGTTGAAGCTTCCCGGCGGGCGTGTCTGAAACTCGACCAAAAACCAATCACATGAATCTCCCGCCCCGGACACACAAGCACGCGGTTTGATTGGCTAGAGCTTGTACTGGCATATTATTTGAATGGCAAAAGTTTAACATTGCTCAACTTTTGAAGCGAGCAATGCGAGCAAAGCGAAGCGACGGAACCACAATGCAGTTTGGCAAAGCGTGATGTCACCCCATTCAAAGTGAATGGGCAGAAGCGTTGAAGCGTCAACGCACACCGCCGTGTGGACGGGCCGTTACGGCTGCGCCGCGGCGTTCACAGCAATCGCCAATAAAATACAGCAACACATCATTCATGTCGTTTATAAGTGGAATATTACAACTATTATTAACTTTGTCTGCACATAGTAGCCTGTCCAGGAAATATTCCCAAATCAACAAAAACTGCGAGCCGGCACGCAAGATGCTCCGCTTCTGAAACGCGCCCGGTGGGTTATGACGTTGGAGGAGGTCGGACCAAAACTGCCGCGCAGCCGTGACGCGGTGCAGACGGACCCGGTGGAATCTCGGCAGTAGGTGCGCCGCATTTGCGCTTCAGATGAGGCCCCCTCCGCAAGATGAAGCCCCCTCCGCAAGATAAGGCCCCCTCCGCAAGATGAGGCCCCCTCCGCAAGATGAAGCCCCCTCCGCAAGATAAGGCCCCCTCCGCAAGATGAGGCCCCCTCCGCAAGATGAGGCCCCCTCCGCAAGATGAGGCCCCCTCCGCGAGGTGAGGCCCCGCGAGGTGAGGCCCCACGCAGTCTGCGTGATCGGCCTGTAGGGAGGGGCGGCCCTGGGAGCATCCATAATAGAGTAGCAATCGTTTTTTTAAAACATTAGAAATGAAGTCAGAATCTGGAATAAGAAGATAACATTTGAAAAAAAAATCAGACAAAACAAATATTAAAGAAAATGAATATATACCTATATTCATATAAGCAGCATGGGAATATCATTGTACATAAATAACGTTTAAATTATGACATTGTGCAGATCTTCTTCTCACCTCTGTATCTTCTGCTTTTTCCACTGAACAGTTGTGTGGTAGAAAAGGAACTGTGGACAGAGACACAGAACATCATGTGGCATGAACATAGGGAGACATTTAGAGGGGGACAGTCTGCACTGAGGGTTTAACATGAGGGTCTTGTTGGCCAGTAGAGGGAGCAACAGAACATAGAATGAAGTGCAGCTAGGGAACGCAGAACTAGGTCAATCCTCAGAGCATCCTGTATCAGGGACCCCCCCAACAGACCCTCCATGAGTCCACAGTCCCTTTAATAAGATTTACAGCTCAGAGAGAAGCACTGCAGTTAGACAACAGTTACATAAAGGATGATAGTGAATGTGAGGTGAAGCCAAGAGGGTCTGAAAGTTATCCATTCTGATATGCATTCATCCTCACCTGTATACATCCTACTGTACATGTGATATTTGGTGTGAATAGTATCTTACATAGTTCCATTAAGTAATAATGTACTGTCACACCCCTGGCAGATCTGTTCATGGCTATCTTTATTTTTGCTCATTTAAACTCCAGGGAGCTATGTAAAGTATTTAATGTTGCTTATGTGAGTTTTTGAACGCTAAGGTAAATGACTATCAAGTCAGAGTCAGTTTCACAAAGAGATTTAAGAGTGGTCTGTGTGTTCGCTTAGAGATTAGTCTAATACAAGACAGTTCCACACAAATAAAGACTGACCTACTTTAACCCTAGAAGGTTAGCACCCCCCCCCCCCAGGCAACCTCTGATATATGTGTGTTCATACTATGAGCTTACAAAGCCAAAAATCACACACTGGCCCGCTACAGTCGCAGGGTGACACAGCCACAAATGTAAAAAATATAAATGTTTAAATGATGCAGTGTGTTTATTTTACATCAAATGGAAATATGTCTTTGGCACTGGCTAATAAAACAACATGAACCATACACAGTACAATATATAATTAACAAAAAAAAAGGGAATCTTTAAAGGTAGGGTAGGTAAGAATGGAGAAACCAGCTCGAGTGCGCTAGAATTTGAAAGTACGCAGCCGAAAAAAATCTGCCCCTTCCTTCAGACTTCCTTACAGAGCCCCTCCTCCAACACACACAAACGCGCACATGACCAATGAGGGCACGAGATTACATGTTTTTTTTTTTTTTACATGTCACTTGTTAGACGCTATTATCCAAAGCGACTTACATACTCAATACTGAGGGCAATCCCCACAGGAGCAATTTGGGGTGAAGTGTCTCAGGGACACAACGACATGCTGACTGCAGTGCCCCCCTGATCCCAACTCCAACGCACTATCCACTGCGCCACATGCCTCCATGAGATAAGTTTGTGCACAGATGGAAGGCTGACAGGCAGGTAGGCCATCCAGTTACTTTAGCCGCGCCGATTGGTCGTGCTTTTTACAGTACTATGGCTTCCACAGATGAACATTTTTTATGGATTTATTGTCAAAGCATTTCATGTATTCATTGAATAAAACAAAAAGTGTTTCTGAAGTGAATTACCTACCCTACCTCTAAGTGACGAAGTGGCAGTCTTAATAAAAGTGCTGAGTGGTTTGTTCTTCCACTGGCTTGTGGTGCATTAGAATATCAATTCATTAATTAGAAATAAATATTTCATGTATTTAATGCATATTAGATATAATTTAATATATGTTTTTAAGTTGGTCATTGCTTGGGAACTCCTTCAATTATTTCCTGTGATATCTTCTTAAAAGTTTGTTCCACATTTTTGGAGCATTTCCCAAATGTGCAGCAACGCGTGTCAATTTCTTTGGCATACAGTCATCAGTCAAAAAGATGTAATTGCCGTAACTACAGAAATTGCTAAATTAGATAACTATGGAAAGAGATGTTATTTAAGTATGGAAGTATCATGACAAATGTATCCACTCTGGCTTCACACACGCCATGAACAGCAGTCTCCTTGGTGAAAGTTCAGTCCTCCATACAGTATGTTGATTTGTTGTCTCTATGCTTCACCATAAAGTGCATTACAAACAAATTGACTTTGTGGGATATAATAACTACAGTGCATAACCTTTTGGGTATTGCTCTTAACAGCTTTTGAGAACAGCCAGCTTTATTCACTGTTCTTCTGACGATGTGAGGCGAAACATTTTGCTTGTACATTATACATACACAACATAAAAAACCTTGATCCAGAAACATTGCAGCATTTTACTCGTTAGAGAAGAAGAAGGTCTTACTTCCATCTGTGTCCTCTGTGTCATCTGGTGGAAGGTCCACTTCCTCACTCTTGGCATCTGAAGGGGGCTCCTGTGATGGCATGACTGGATCCTGAATAAAGAAAACTAAATAAATATCCAGACACATCCCCAAATATCCACTGAATATCCACACATGGTTGAAACGCCTGGAAGAGTGTAAGATACACCATGTTTGAAAGGAAAAGTCTATTTGCAGAAAGATTGTGTCTGACCAGAGGCTTACTTTGAGGTCAAATTGATTTATTACAGGAAGCCTATGAGTTTGCTATCACCCAGTGGCGAACCGTGTCTATCACAACTGGACCTTCTGTAGACAACCCCCCGGATTCGAAAATGCGGGTGTTCTAGTCAGACGGACGTCACGGAGGCAGTCACTCTGCGTTGGACGGCCTTTTTTTAATAATGTCCATCTTTTCACTGAATGATCGTCTTGAAAAGGGTACTACCAACAATTCCACAACAACTTCCTCTTCACCTGTTGCACTTGTCATTTCAACGTTAAAAACAATAAAACGGCATGCATTCTTTCACACACAGTGACGTCACGAGCTACCCACAATGCAACACGCGCCATATATATATATATAAATATGCCATTTTCATGGAGGTGCAAATATCCTGGAAGTGCAAATATAAACAGCTAGCTAACGTAGCCAGGCAGAGCGCAGTAGGTTTTTTTTCTGAATTAACGACCGAAGAAATCGCTGCATGTCTTCGGATTACATCTCTGGACTTGAGGGGTGTGCTCTAGGTCGTTACCAGCGTAAACTAGAGCTGTGTGGGTTGTCCGATTGCCCTTACAGACTGCGTCGATTTTGGCAGCATCTACGTCTAATTTCTGGAAACACCAGGTGAATACCCCACTTGTCACAATAATATTATCATGCCAATGCATATATGTGGTATTTTAGAGTTGACTAGATATTGATTAAGGCAATAGACTATGATATTCAGTACAGGAAGCTTAGCAACACCTAGACGGTGTACGGCTAAACCCTTGGCCTGCTTGCACCTCGTGTAAAACGGCGGATACCGGAAGTACGGTGTCGCCCTCGGCCCAATATGTGTGTGTGAAAGAATTGCTTCGTCGCATTCATCTATCCTCTGTCTCGAGCCAGTTAACTAGCGGGCCTTCTAGAATACCCTGGAACCGAGGGAAACTCTGAAAGAATACGCCCATTGGCTACAAATCAATATGATTGGTTGATCAAACTGTCAGTCCAAACGTACGCTCTCATTCAGTGCAACGGCCAGGGCATTCTATCAAGGATGTAGAATACCTTGTTGAAGGATATTCTACCCAGAGACCCAGAACAAGATCTGATTGGTTGCTTTCTTTTCTAACACAAAACCACTGAAATGCGTAGTGCATGGTCCGAGAAGGACAAACAAATCAACGTAACACTGTAATATTGCAGATCAACAACACAGATACCATTCTCATTTATTCATTTTATATCAATTGTATTACATTTTATTTATATAATTAAATCGATTTTTTGTCTGTTTTATCTGAGTGTTCCAGAGTATTCTCTGAATACCTTGAAGGCCCTGACGGTTCACCACTGCTACCACCAAACTTAATGTCATTTTAGGAATCAATCAACAACTTTATTAATCCCGCAAGGGGGGAATACAAACTGCAAGAGGAAAAACAGTAAATGTACAAAGAAAGAGGAATCTGTGTTGTGCTAAAGTCAGTAGTCTTCTTAATTCAAATGTAATTACATATTTTAATGGTTTTAATTCACATGCTTTTTTTTGTATAGTTGGTCACCATTTTTATTTATTTCTTACATTGTTATTCGTATAACTCCCATTTAATTTCACTTGCTGATTTAAAAAAAAAAAACTGTATTATTTTCTTTTCTTCTTTTTTCTTCCAATGTGTGTTTATAGATGTGTAAACTTTTTCTTTACACTATTCACACTCTCTGTGTCTGCAACCTTTGTGTAAATACAGTTTAGAAATAGTCTTCATCACTTCAGTGTGTGAGCTTGATTAGAATGTTTGCTGCTTGGCTGTGTTATGTCAGATAGACTGCTGCTGTTAGCTGCTGGGTACATGATGAATACTCACCATAAGCCTTTGGCAGGTCTGAGGGATGAGTCTGTGACAGCGCTTATGGACCAGCAGTTTGCAGTTGATACACTTGTAGCCCTGCCTGCCCAGCCCCCATATCCTTTCAGCACAGTGGCCACAGTAGGCTTTCTGCAAGACACACACAGGACACATTAGTCTTTAACACACTCACTGATACAACCCCTGGCCATTCTCATAAAGCACTAATTAACAGCAACTACATGAATAAATAAGTGTGATGGACATACAGTGACCTTTACACATTTCTCCTTACTGTACTGTTTTAATGCAGGTCTATTCTAGTTGTGATTGCTGCTCGGTCCATTATTCACTCTTGTTTTAGCTCGGTTTTTGGTTTCTACCAACATCTGAAGGAAATACCTTTTCTCTTTAGCTGAAATGCCCCATTATATTCAGCAACTAGCCTCTAACTGTGTCTGTCTGCCGTTTATAAGCAGGTGGTGGACAGTGACTTTGTCAGAGCTTTTTCATGCAGTATACATGTGTTATTTTCATGGAATCTAAAGACTCATAAGGAGACCATTTCTAGTCATGATGATGCAAGTCTCTATTGTAGCCATTTTGTTGTAGAGAGACCAATTTTTTTAAGCGACACTGTATAAAATGATCTTTTGTGACCTCTTAAACATGGAGGTCACGAATCAGCCTATTAGTACAAAATAAACAAGAAAGTCTATCAGTAACACATGAATCCTTGTCATCCAATCAGGTAAGTTATCTAACCTGTGGCACATATCCATATCAGCAAATTACACTGAACAAAAAATTAAAACGCAACACTTTTGTTTTTGCTCCCATTTTTCATGAGCTGAAATACAGGTGAGGATGAATGAAATCAGAATGAAAATTTACACAAAAGGGCTATTTCTCTCAAATATTGTTCACAAATGTGTCTAAATCTGTGATAGTGAGCACTTCTCCTTTGCAGAGATAATCCCACCACCTCACAGGTGTGGCATATCAAGATGCTGATTAGACAGCATGGTTATTGCACAGGTGTGCCTTAGGCTGGCCACAATAAAAGGCCACTCTGAAACGTGCAAGAACTGGGATGTTTTCAGCCTCCAGGAATTGTGTACAGATCCTTGCTACATGGGGCCGTGCATTATCATGCTGCAACAAGAGGTGATGGTCGTGGATGAATGGCATAACAATGGGCCTCAGGATCTCGTCACGGTATCTCTGTGCATTCACAATGCCATCAATGAAATGCACCTGTGTTCGTCGTCCATAACATACGCCTGCCCATACCATAACCCCACCACCACCATGGGCCACTCGATTCACAACATTGACATCAGAAAACCACTCACTCACACGACGCCACACACGCTGTCTGCCATCTGCCCTGAACAGTGAAAACCGGAATTCATCCGTGAAGAGAACACCTCTCCAACGTGCCAGACGCCATCGAATGCCCACTCAAGTCGGTTACGACGACGAACCGGAGTCAGGTCGAGACCCCGATGAGGACGACAAGCATGCAGATGAGCTTCCCTGAGACGGTTTCTGACAGTTTGTGCAGAAATTCTTTGGTTATGCAAAGCGATTGTTGCAGCAGCTGTCCGAGTGGCTGGTCTCAGACGATCTTGGAGGTGAACATGCTGGATGTGGAGGTCCTGTGCTGGTGTGGTTACACGTGGTCTGCGGTTGTGAGGCCGGTTGGATGTACTGCCATCGGCTTATGGTAGAAAAATTAACATTCCATTCACGGGCGACAGCTCTGGTGGACCTTTTGATATTACTTTATTTCATGTGCGCGGTATTTCTTTCACGTGTTCTGTTTGGTTGTGCTGAGTTGTTGATTTTAAGAGGTTTTTTTTTCCCTCTAAAATACGTTTTTTCCTGTAAACAGAATAATATTTTGGTCTGGTATACATCTACTGTAAAGCACAGGCCTAATGCAGTTACATCACATGGTCTCTAGAGCGTTGGTTCTGTCATTGTTGTTTAGCTGACATTGCTAAATTAGGACTGAAGGCTGTTCAGTGTCCCTGGACATCAATTCATCCGTCACCAAAATGTCCCCCTGGAGACTGAACACATGCAGTGTGTGTGTGTGTGTGTGTGTGTGTGTGTGTTGTGTGTGTGTGTGTGTGTGTGTGTGTGTGTGTCGACAGCATTCATTCATTGGGGTGGATGCTGACGGTGTTTGTAAAGAACAAAGAGTCCCAGTCACTGCTCTGTTGCCATGGAAATGCTTCAGCAAGACTTCAAAGGCTTCCTTCTGTCTTTCTCATCTGACTCTACACAGAGGTTAAGGCATACATTTATAAATGAATCAGCAGCTTTAGTCCTGTTTCTTTCCCTACACAGCACCCAACCAGTCAGCAGTATGAAGAGTCACTGCGTCAGGCTGTGGACACCAGGTAGTCGGCCCTTTTAATAGTGATACCTTTTATACCTCAAGATATCCTGGCTCAACCGTTGTTTTATTCCTCAACTTGTTTTCAGATGTCTAAAAACACAGCAGGAGCCTTGTGATTAAGCCCAAATGCTTTGCATACCAAGCCTGTATCTTACTTATGTGTTTGTTTGTATCTGATTAAAATAGTTACGTATAGAAACCTTGCACATTTTCAAATGCTTAGTTTAATATTCTATTTGTTACACAACTAAATGCAGAGGCCAGGGTTGCACTATTAAAAGTCAAAGCTTGCTATGGATAGTGCAATGGATAGTGTTCGTCCCAATCAGGGCTAATGAATGAATGACTTGAGCAAGAAGCTATCGTTTAGCTGCCTAGAACACAATCATTGATGTGTCATCTTCGTACATCCTTTGTTTCTACGATCTTGTAGGTGGCAGCACTTTCAGCTTAATGCTAACATTAGCATTCTAAAAAGCTGACAGTGACTTTGTAATATTTAGAAGGTCAAATGTTCACCTCCTAATTTTACAGTGCTATTTGACTTAATTCAAGTTCAACGGACCGTATTTGGTCATACACCAAAGCACTGAACTGATGTTGATGGTTCTATGGGAAAACAAATGAGAAATCAACAGTGATCCTCTGTGGACCGTTAATATCAGTAAAGTAGTTCATACAAATCCATCTTACAAAATCTTGACCAACAAACCCTAAGACATTACCATACAAATCTAGGAGCCACAATCTGAGCCTCTGCAGTCCTCTGGAAAATATGCTCGAAAATAATAGATAGACAACATTACAACCCACATTCAATACATTATTATACTGCATTGTTTATTTATCTATTTAAATGCAAATGTGAATTCAAATGTAAATGTATTGACTAGGTTAAAAAGAGTCAACCAACAATTTCCCTTTTTTGTTAACTCTACTAGCCGTCAATCAGAAATCAAATCAAAAAGGTTGCTGACCCCTGCAATAGGATCTTCGCCGACCTCTGGTCTCAGACCCTAATGAGCTTATTTAAGACAGCCATGTTGTTGCATCACCCAAAGATTTTCTTTTTACTTAAAAGGCTGAACTGTGTGTTGAAACTTCAGATCTTATGTTCTCATTAGGTATGCTGGTTTAAAGTCCAGACTCCAGAATCACACTGTTTGATAGCCTTATTTAGCCAATCATTTCCAAAGACGAGTTTAGATAATGGGGAATTCAACGTCTGAATGTTCTAAAAGAATCCCCAAGAAATTGCTACATGCCACAAATCTTCCTTTATTACCAATAAATGCAGTGTTTAGCTCAGATCAAGATAAATAAATGATGATAGGCCATCAGGAGCTGTTCTAATATATCGAAAGAAGTATTAATCTGTTGAAACTTCACTTGGGGAACATCATTCTGGTATCTAGAAGAAGAACAAATACAAGCCCAAAGAAAACATTGAGCCCTGAAGGAACCATGAATAGTGAGACATTAAAGCTGCACTGGCTGGCCCTGCATAGGGCAGTGGAGTGTGTGTGTGACGTCCTTGACCCAGCTGGACATTTGCGGCAAGTGACGTGAATATCTAATAGAATAGAATAGAAAGCCTTTATTGTCATTGTACAAAAACATACAACGAGATTTGGAGTGCAACCCTGTCACAGTGCGCAGAAAACAAAAACAGACAACATAAAAACACGTCGGTAGGACAGACAAACTTAAACACGTTTACAGGGGGGAATAAATAGTTTAGAACAATGGCGAAAAAATCTATAAAGTGCATCAAAGAATAAAAAGTGCATTAGTTAAGTAATTGAAAGAGTATTGCACTTAAGACTGTAGGTTTAACAGCCTGGTGGTCCAGGGGTAATGATATTCTAATAACCCCAGTCTGCTCCACACACTACAGTATATTCACTGCATGATTTACCACATAACCTTATCAAGAGCACAGCCTGATTAAACAGAAATAACATCATTTATACATTGTACTTTGGGCAGACAGTCAAACTTCACTACACAGCAGCCAGCAGACTGAAACCAGTGCAGATATGGACTGCAACCTTTTACAGCACATGTCATGCTGAAGTGCATCTGGTTGTGAAGGGTCCAGCAGCTGCCTGCAGCTCGGGAATAAAGGGATGAGTACAAAAAAGCTTTCATTGATTGCCAGTCCTCCCAGCAGCCCAGCAGACAGATCATATGAGTGCCTGGAAACTGACAGCATAATATGCCGGGGAATGATCTGCTGTCTAGTTCACCTCTGAGTAAGAAATGTATCAGAACAGACTGACCAATAATGACTGCATCAATCCGAGCAGTGACATCAGGCCACAAAGGTACAATACAAATATCTATCACATGTATTACCACCACAACCTGATGCAGCTTCCTTAGAACCAAGACAGGCTGATCTATGTGGTTTAAACCCAGTGCTGGCCCCACCTGCTGTGACCCCCTGCTGGGGATGGAAAGGTAATAGCTGCTGTCCCGCTCGGACAGAAAGAGGCAACAACCTCCCCTCACTCAACAGCATCCTCTGTTAGAATTCTCTATATGACAGGGAATCATGTGTAATGCTTCCTCTCCTATTTCCTTAAGAGTAGGATAAACTGGACCATCCTTTATGAAAGCAAAGGACATAATGCTGCCCCATACTGTGACTCCGTTCAGCCGCACATCAGAAACATCTGTCTCCCAGTGTAAGTGCAGTCAGATTCTCGTAGCACCGCGGTTGTCTCTTCCTAGACCC